TTTTTTTTTTTTTTTTAATTTTAACAACTATCATTTATTATTTACAGAGCATTCTGCCTGTGCACCAGATCTCACTATAGATGGTTGTGAGCCACCATGTGGTTGCTGGGAATTGAACTCTGAACCTTTGGAAGAACAGCCAGCATTCTTAACTTCTGAGCCATCTCTCCAGCCCGATTTTTTTTTTAAATTTTTTGAGATAGGCTTTTAGATAGTCCATCCTGGCCTCCAATGCACTTTGCATGTTACTGAGGAGAACTTTGGACTACTGCGTTCCACCTTCAAGTGCTGGGGTCACAGGCATGTGCCACCATGCTCAGCTGAGGGGAAGTGTTTTCTGAAATGAACACATAGAAAAAGTAGTAGATCTTCAAGGACATCTTACCCATTTCCATAGGTAAACATTTTCAGTGAGATGAGACAGATTGCAGTAGGCAGCATTTCTGATGAATTAAAAAAATTCTCAAAGAAAAGGATCTATTCTTTAAGCCTACAGTTATTTTTACTGATTTTATTGATTTTTCTCATTCTGAATACATATTGACATAAAAATTATTTATTTCAGGCAGAGATAGCATACCTCTAATTCTAGCACTTGGGAGGCAGACACAAGTGGATCTCTGAGGCTGAGGCCAGTCTGGCCTACAGAGCAAGTTCCAGGGCAGCTAAGGTGACACAGAGAGGCTCTATCTTGAAAAACCAACCAACCAACCAACCAACCAACCAACCAACCAACCAACCAACCAACAAATAAATAAATAAATAAATATGGGTATGAGTGTTTTGCCTGTATGAAGTATGTATGTGTGTATGTGTACCATATGTGTGCCTGGTGCCCAAAGAGGCCAGAAAAGGGTGTTGGATTGATTCCTTGGAACTGGAGTTACAGACTGTTATGAACCTATATGTGGGTACTGGGACTTAAACCTGGGTTCTCTGGAAGAAGGGCAGTGCTCTTAACAACTAAACCATTTTTCCAGTCCTAAAACATACACTTTTATACCCAGCTAAGGTGGTTATTATTTCTGGGTGTTTTAAACTAGGATCTGGGATATAGTTCTAAGGTAGAGTACTTACTATTATGTGTGAAGCCCTGGTTTCAAACCATAAAACAAACAAATAAAGACATTTTCACATGGTTAAGTATTTTTAAGATTCACCTACACATCCTCATCAGAATTTATGCCAATGTGCTTCAGTGAAATAAAGGGGTACATAGAACAAACATGTAAACAAAACACCCATGCACATGAAATAAAATAGACATGCAGACCAGTGGAATAAAATAGAGGACCTAAAAATAAATCCACTGAATGTAGCTACCTGATTTTTGACAAAGGTATCAAAAATATACATTAGAAAAAAGGCAGGCTCTTCAACAAGTGCTGCTGGGAAAACTGATTATCCACAGGCAGAAGACTAGAACTAGATCTGCTTCTCAGTCTGTACTAAAGTTTATTCAAAACAGATTGAAGACCTTGATTTAAAAATCATTATTATCATTATTTTTTTCTGAGACAGGGTCTCACTAAGTAGTCCTGGCTGACTCACAGAGATACACCTTCTTTACCTTCTGAATGCTGGAAGTAAAGACATGGGCCATTATGCCTGGCTCTTTATTTTATTTTTATATTTTCAAAGACCTAAATGTAAGACCTGAGACTCTGAAAAGATTTTGAGATATAGAGATATAGGGCTTTCTGAAAGGATTCCAATAACCCAGAAAATAGCACAAATTGACAAATGAAATTGTCATTTGTGGAAACAATTACAAAGGAAGGGACAACCTGTGGAGTCGAAAAAAAATCATTTCAGGATTTATATTTCATAGATAATAGCTAGAATCTATAAAGAACTAAACCAAAACCAAAACAAAATTGCCCACCCCCCAAACCAAGAAGACTCACCCAATCAATAAATGAGAAAAATGGCTGGGTGCAGTGGTGCATGCCAGTAATCCCAGCACTCTGTGAGTTTGAGGCCAGCCTGTTTTATGAAGCAAGTCCAGGACAGCCAAGGCTACACAGAGAAACCCTGTCTCAAAAAATAAAAAAAAAAAAAATTTTTTTTTTTTCAAAAGAAGTACAAATGGCCAATAAATATATGAAAATTTGTTCAAATGTCTTTACTTGTCAGGGAGATAAAAATCAAAGCTTGAGACTCCATCTCTCTCTAGTAAAATAAGTATTATTAAGGAAACGACAAATGGGGTGAGATGGTAAAGGAACTTGTCAGTACCTCTGACTACCATCTCTGGAAAGAAGAGCTGACTCCCCCAAATGTACTCCACAGTGCATTTGTTTTCTGACCTTTACAAATGTACTGTGGCATATGCATCAGCATGATTGTGAGAACAAGCACACACACTAAAAAAACAAATGCTGTTGTAGGATGGGTGGATAGGTTAGAGACCCTTATCCTGTTGGAACATAAATTAGTGCAGTCGCTGTGGAGATCAGTTGGGAAGTTTTCAAACAAAGGAACCTAGAGCCAGGTGCGATTGGCACACGCCTTTCAACACCAGCACTCAGGAGGCAGAGGCCAGTGGATCTTGGTGAGTTCCAGGACAGCCAAGGCTATGTAGAGAGACCCTGACTCAAAACAAACAAATAAACACACAAATCAAAAACAAACCTGAAAAATAAAGGGGCTGGAAAGATGCTTCAGTGGTTAGAGCACTTGCTGCTCTTGCAAAGGGCCTGGGTTTGGGTCCACCTGTCTGTATCTCCATTCTAAGGGACCTTTTTTCTGACCTCCAAAGGCAGTGTCCACATAGGGTGTGCATCCATCCATGAAGACAGTCACATACACACAATAAAAAGAAAAAGTAATTTGAAAGAAAATGGATGGACCTAGAGAGCATCACACTAAAGAAAACAAGCCAGACTGAAAGAGACAAATGTTTTTTTTTTCTCTCACATATGGAATCTAAATTTCTTTTAAAAAATAATTTATTTTATTTTATGTATATTGGTGTTTAGCCTGCATTTGTGTCTGTGTGAGGATGTCAGATCTTGGAGTTACAGACAGTTGTGAGCTGCCATGTGGGTGCCGGGAATTGAACCCAGGTCCTCTGGAAGAGCAGTCAGTACTCTTAACTGCTGAGCCATTTCTCCAGCTCTTAGAATCTAAATTTTAACAAAATTAAGAAATGAAAGTAGAATGGAAATATTTTGGAAGAGGAAGGGAACCGGTGGAGAGGGATGTGGGACAAGAAGATAATCAAGAATGTGTATGAACGTGAGTAAAGTACATGTATGAAAATGTCATAATGAAACTCATCGCTCCGTTTAATGAATACATTTAAAAACAAAAATACAGGGGCTGGAGAGATGGTCAAGGATTAAGAAAATTATTGTTCTTGCAGAGGACAGGATGGTTTCCAGCACCCATACAGTGGCTTAAAACCCTCTGCAACTCCAGTTCCAGGGCATCTGATGCCTTCTTCTGGGTTTTGGCCACCAGGCATACACATGGTACACATAAATTCACACGGGCTCATACACGCACATTAAAACAAACAAAAACTTTAAAAACAAAAGCAAAGCTGGCACCCGACTTTAGTCCAGTCCAGGCAGAGGCAGGCAGGTCTCTTAAGTTGGATGAGGCCAGTCTGGTCTGCAGAGCAAGTTCCTGGACAGCCAAGGCTACACAGAGAAACCCTGTCTCCTGGGGCAGCGGTGAGGGTGGGGGAAGAAAAAAAAAAACAACAAAAGAGAAACCCTGTCTCAAAAAATAAAACAACCACAACAAACAACCCCCCCCCCGAAAAAAAAACTGTCTTATTCCCTAGGTGGATGCTATTTCAAAATAACAGATTCTCTCAATGTTTATTTGTTCCTTTGGTGTGGTAGGACAGAGCCAGGGAGGTTAACTCAGGGACTTGTGCCTGCTTGTGGAGTGATTTTTATTACACACCTGTTGGAATTCGCTTCTCTCGTTCACTTGGAGCTCACAGAAGCTGCAGGCTTTTGTGGGTAAAACATCGCTGACTTCCCGTGCAGAACTTTTGCTTTCTACGGTCCAGGTACGGGGAACTAGGGACCGAATAAACACTTTTTGAAAGAACAAGCAAAATGGGCTGTCATTCTTAGAGTTTTCCTTCTCCTCTCTCTCTCTGACTCTTCATTGCTACGGTGTAGACAAAGTACAGAACTGCGAAGTGGGGAAGAGTAAGGCTGATTTCTCCCTAGCCTTGGACTTCACATAGTGGATGCCTGTCTGGGTGAGTTTGATCTATTACGAATCCCCATCCCCAGATGGAGACGGGACCTAACTGTGCAGCGAAGGGGTCCTCTGTCCTCCCATCTCAGCCAGCGTTGGGATTACAGGCGGATACCTCCACCTATCAGACTGTAAACCACAGCTCCGCATTTTACTCGCAGTCTCGCAATCTAAACGTGTTCTGCTACGAGAGTCACAACACTATTCCAAGGACATTATCACTCTCTCCCTCGCGGTGCTCAAAATGGGGCACGCCAGCCCCGAATTCGGCTTTGTAACAATGACTAACTCGCACCCTCCGGACGCTGGGCTCTCGCCAGCATCTCCGCGGCGGCCCCCCACGCTCCCACCGCGGCCTGCGGCGGGAGGCGGCGTCCTGACCCTCTGACCTCTCTGTCATGGCGTCCGCCCGCCGCGGCGAGCGCGGACCTTCCCAAGATGGCGGCGGCGGGGGGCGGCGGGCGCGGGGCGGGGCTCCGCCGGCGGAGGCGGGGCGGCGGGCCGAGGGCCGGGCGGGCGGGGGGGCCGCCCCCGGAGATGCTGGCGAGAGCCCAGC